ATCTCTTCCCAGTTGAGGAAACTGAAAAGTGCCCACTCTATTTCTAGGAGACGTTTTGTCCACACTCCCATAATCACTTCAAAGCGCCATCCCCACCCCACCTCCCACCCCCGCAGTCCTATTAAGACAGAAATCATAAACTGACACCTGAATCCAGCTGCTTTGGACCCCATAGTGCTTAAAACAATTTTCGGTTGGAGATATCACATGGAAATTCAGACAGCCAGTTTGTCTTGAAAAATGGTAAGATCTGGCATAAAAAAGAAAAAAAGGGGCCTGTAAGCTGTCATAATAACAACAGGCTAAAGCTAGTAGCAACAACCCACTTTCGATGGTGTATGAATTCTCCATTTGCATAGTCACCACCTGACTGTTTCCCACGTTAACATTACTTCCCTGGCCCTGTCAGCATTTGAGTTTGAGATCCCTGTCCAAAGCATTCAGGCTTTTGGAAAACAAAAGCCAGAAAGGCTGGTGGGTGAATGCTGCGTGAATAAGGAAAAAGGAAAGAGAAAAGAGGGGTGTGTGTGGGGAGCCCAAGTTAATGTTTCAACATATTATTTAGACACAGGGCAAGGGGTGGGTTCTCTGATGAATAAGTGGACCCACAGCTGTGTTATCTCACCCCAGGGTTGACCCAGAAGGCCTCAGTGGACGCCAGCAACACTGGAGGGGAGGAATTCCTCACGGCCTTCCTGCAGAACTACCAGACTGGGTACGGCAAGGCCTACCTCCACCTCCTCATCACCAGTCAGTCCAACAGCTCCGCCTCAGTTTCTGTCTTCAGCCGGGCAGATGGCACCTTGCAGAATGTCACAGTGGGACCTGGGCAGTCGGTCATGGTCGACATCAACATCAAGTCTGAGTTGATTGGCAGCAAAACCTTCCATTATGCGGTGGTGGTCCACTCTCATCAACCCATCTCTGTGCTAGCCATAAATTCTAAGCCCAACACAGGGGAACTGACACTGCTGCGGCCTGTCAGTGCCCTGGGAACTGAGTATTTTGTGTTCACACCCCCCAGCGTCTCGGCCAGGAATGTCAAGGAGTTTGCTGTGGTGGCTGGTGCAACGGGTGCCTCGGTCAGCGTGCAGCTGAAGGGGGCAGTGACATTCCAGGGCAAGTTCTATCCCTCAGGCAATGTCCTGAGTGTGACTCTGGGACCCTATGAAGTGGCCCAGGTACAGAGCGAGGCTGATCTCTCAGGGTCAAAGGTCACAGCCAGTAGCCCCATAGCAGTCCTCTCTGGCCACAGCTGTGCCCAGAAACACACAAGCTGCAACCATGTGACGGAGCAGCTGTTACCCACATCCGCCTGGGGCACCCACTATGTGGTGCCCACTCTATCCTCCCAGACCCGCTTTGATCTGGTCTATGTCATGGCCAGCCAGACCACAAAGCTGACCTACAACCATGGGGGCATCTCTGGTTCCAGGAGCCTCCAGGCAGGTGATGTGTCTGAGTTTGAGGTCCGGCATTCCCGGCCACTCTACTTGTCTGCAAATGTCGGCATCCAAGTCCTGCTGTTTGGCACAGGTGCCACAAAGGACAAAATTACCTATGACCCCTACCTGGTCCTGATCCCAGATGTGGAGTCCTATTGCCCTGCCTACGTGGTCAATAGCATTCCGGGCTTTAACGGTGTGGCCATGATGGTGGCACAGACAAAGGCTGCTGACGAGGTCACCGTGGACGGGCAAAAGCTGGGGGCCAGTCTCGCCTGGACAGATGTACCAGGCAGTGAATTCTCATATGCTGAAGTGGACGTCAGCACTGCTAACATGGTCCACAAGTTCAAGGCCACTACCAACTTCGGGCTGCTCACTGTAGGGCTGGTCCAGTCTGGGGGTTACGGGACAGCAGCTGCCTGCAGCCAGGGTGAGTGATGGGAAACGACCCCTGGCCCTGTCCACCTGTTGAGTCCTGTTGAGTCCTTTGTGGGCTCTCTTGTCTTTCCGCCTTTCCTACCCACCTGTTCCTCTATGGTTTCCTGGCTCATCCAGGCTGTTCCCCCCTCACCTCCATCCTCCCTGCCATCCTTCCTTTTTAAAAGGCTTCCCAGCCCCTCCCTACCCCCACCCCTCCAGGAACAATACTTTAAATATTTGACAACCAGTATGAGGGTCCCAGCCAATCAAAAGAGATGCCATAACACTGCAGCAGTGTCTGTTGGCATCAGCCCTTTGTCTGTTGCTTTCTGGGTGGTGGTGTTGGGGAAGCGATACTAGGGAACAGCCAGGGTGCTAAGAGGGAGGGATTGTGGTGGGAGTGGGGGTGGGGTAGAGGTGNCAGTGAAGCAGCGTCCTCCACAACTAGACTGAAGAACAAAAGGACAGCAACTTGTCTGTTCCCCTTCCCCCGATTCCCCAAGCGCTGTTCCCATCCCCCAATTCCCCCATAAAAATCTTTTTTAAAAAAACCAAAAGATTTCCCACCACCACCCACTTCTGGGGACTCTGGCTGCAAAGAGAAATGACAGATTTTGAGGGGGGTGGGGAAGGCTTCTCTTTGGGGTCAATCAGGGGAGACCTCAAGGCTTGGAGGAGATTGGGGGACAAAATCATCCCTGAGACTTAACCCTAATTCTCTGCCCCTCCCCCATCATTTCTCTGAGTGTTTCAGACTACAAGAGGGGTGTCTGTCAGAAGATTTTGACATCTTGGTTTGCAACAGCTGTTTCTTCCTTAGGAATTCCAGCAGCCCCCCTCTTCTTTCCTTCAGGGACCCAGATGATCCCTCTACCCACCCCAGACTCCTGAGACCCAGGCACCACTCTCCTCAAAGCTCCCACTCCTCCTGCGTCCCCCCACCCCCTACCTGTTCGTAGCTCTGACTTTATCCAGTCTCCTGTTTACTCACTTCATTTTCCTGGTTGACTTTGGGTCCCATTCAACTCTGACCCTTTATCTCTCCCTCTGGGAGCCTACCCTGGGTCGGGGGTATCAGAGCCCCCACCCATCCTGGCCACCCAGAGGCGCAGGCTTTGGCGATAAGAGAGGAGGAGTCCTGGGGCAGCAGCTGCTGGGGTGTTGTCCGAGAGGACACCCAGGCTTTGCAGCTGCTGTTCCCAGGGGAAACTCCCCGGCAAACAGTGAGTTCGGAGATCAGGAGGAAGGGAGCAGGGTGTGGGTCAGGCCAGCGCCCCGGGAGGAACAGACTCCATCTCAGAAAACCCACATCACTTCTCTGCGGTCCCTTCTTCTCCCTGTGTGTGACCTAGACCCCCATCTCCCATCCCAGGCAGGTTCTGGGGTGATAGAGGGCACAGATCACCCAACACCTGTTCACCCAGTCCCTTTTCAGGGCAAGAAAACCTCCCAGAAAACAAATAATTCTCCAGGAAGTAGACCCAGTGTCTGCGTGGAACCAGGAAACCGAGGCATCCATCCTTCTTCATACACAGCTCCAGCCCCCAGTTCCCGCCATGCTACCTGCCTGGGACCACACCAAAGGAGTCTGCCTCCCACCTTCTGTCCTTGAGAGTTTACAGAGCCCCCTCTGGGGGACAAATAAGCCCAGTGGGGCTAGTTTTGATGTTCCCATTTCACAGCCGAGGCCCCTTTCCGACTGGGAGTAGAGGTATTGGGTCTCACTCCAAAGGCCTGCAGGGGTCAGGTGCTCAGATACCTGCCCATCCCAGACACCTGACCACCCTCTACCCCACCCCACCCCCTCCTGCACACCTAGTGGTGTCTGGAAACAGGAGGTGGTGGCTGGGGATCAGGGATCAGCTTATAGGAACTGGGGAGCAGCCAGGACCCGGATACAGGTCTTTTGCTATTGTTCCTGGCAGGAGCCAGAGGAAGAAGCTGCAGCAGGTTCTGGCCAACAAACAAGATTAAATGTCATCTTCCACCCCACTCCCTACCCCCCAGGACCCAGGACCTCAGCATCCTGCTCCCCAGCTGTTTCCCTCAGGGACACCACCCTTCCAGGACCGAAATTCCCATTAGGCTCCCAGGCCACAGCCACCATCTGTTCTCACACCCCTCAAGACCCAGACCTCCAGTCTTGTCCTCCACCCTTCACAAGCCTTCAGGGTCCCCATTCCACCTGGCCCTGAGATCGGCAATCTCCTCCAGGAAGTTGGAACCATCAGCTTGGCAGGTGGCCCAGGGTGTGTCCTGAGGAGCCAAGAAACTCCACTATATAGCCCAGCCCAGGGGATAGCCCTATAGCTCCAGGGACCTGCAGGTAAGAGAGGCTGGGGTCCCCTTTGGAAGTGGGACATCAGGTTTCCTACTCTTGCCCTTGTCCTGCCCTCCCCACCCCACCTCCAGACCCACTGGACATCCAACTCCCCTATATACAAGTACACACGCATACTGGCCCTAGGATGCAGTATGCATCCACCTCAGCTTTCCTGGTGCCCAGGTGGCCGTTGTCCTGAGACTAGGCCCTTCTGCCCTCTCTAGGATAGTCTCCGGCAGAAGGGGCAGACCAGCCTCCTATGACGCCCTCTCTTTCCCCACTGCAGACATGGGTTCCCTGTGGAGCTGTTGGACACTCTGGGCCGGAGCAACCCTCCTATGGGGTAAGTCAGACCAAGATCCCATCTCTGTCCTTGCTACAGTCTGGGGAACTCTGCCTGCCTGGGTCAGCACCCGCTGTTTGTGCCCCCTCCACAAACCCATCTCCCGACATTATCCCAGGCTAGCTAGCTGTAATAGGAGAGAGGCTCCTTAGGCTCTGCAGAGAAATGTGGTGGAATTCACCCATTCTCTCCTTGTTCTGGAGGGAAGCAGTAAACACCTTAGTCCCCAAACTCAAGTATGCAAAAAAAAAATACCACCTCCTTCATTTTCTGCAACTCAACTAAAGTTTTGACTCTGAGCCTCATTCTGATGAGGTGATGGGAAATTTCAATAAAGTCGTTCTTGGAGGGCTTGGTACCCAATTCTCCAGGGCTATGTCTAGGACTAGAGTCTTAGGTGAAGCCAAAGGCCTGGGGGGAGAACAGGACATCAGGGCCCTCTAGTCACCAGTCAACATTTATTTAGGTTACTTTTGAAATGTTAATTGTCCCTGATCCCTTGGCCCCATGGGACACTGGGATACCCTTGAGGCTCCATTATTCAACAGACAGCCCTTCTATACCTCCCACACTCTTCCCAAGATCCTGTAGGTCTCTCTCTCTCTCTCTCTCTCTCTCTCTCTCTC